TAAAAATTGTCTGTGACAGTCAAAATAGCTGAGCTTCTTTCCATGTTTTAATCTAAATGACTTTGACCTCTCCAAACATATCGGACATCCTAAGATCCCAGCTGTACTCCATCCAGATAACATTCCGTAAGCTGGAAAGTCATTTATCGTCCAAAGAAGGGCAGCCTTCATTACAAATGTTTGATCGGTAGAAACGTCATACGTAGGGACACCTTCAACCCATAGCCGTTGTAACTCCTCAATCAATGGTTGCATATAAACATCTATCAACTTTTTCGGATTTTGCGGCCCTGTCACGATCAATGTCAAAAATATATAAGGTGTCTTCATGCACATACCAGGTGGAAGATTGTACAGCGTTAAGATAACTGGCCAACATGAATAACTTTTTCCTGTTTTCCCAAATGGAGCAAATCCATCGGCACAGAGACCTAACCTGATGTTCCGAGGCTCTATCGCAAACTCAGGGTATGTTCTATCAAAATGTTGCCATGCCTCCGCATCTGAAGGATGACACATTAGACCCTATTCTGTTTCATGATTTGCATGCCAAGTCATGTGTTCAGTAGTGGCTTTAGACGCATAAAGCCTTTGTAATCTGGGGATTAAGGGTAGATAAAACATTTGCTTGCATGGTCTACACTTCTGATTACGACCCGGCCTCCTGTTAATCTTGTACCTAGGTTGGCTACAGAATTTGCAAGATTCTGCATTTTCATCATCTCTCCAATATATTATACAACCCCTACTACATACATCAATCCTTACAACTGGAAGACCTAAGTTATCCACTAGCTTTTTCATATCATAAAAATCACTTGGCATGATGTTATCACGAGGCAATGATTCCCGCATTACTTCAACAAAAGAGTTGAAGTAATCCGTAGACACATTATGCTATGCCTTGATATTTAATAGTCGGGCTGTCACCGATAACTTAGTGTGGTCGTCACAACCTGCCCATAAAGGTTCATCTGCTGTTTTCAACACATCCCGGAACTGATTAGATTGAAAAGTTTCATTATAGACATTCTCATCAAAACCCGTTACTCCTATATCTTCCAATTGTGAAGCATGACTAGTACTCACTTGTTCACGTGTAGGAGTAAAACTAGTACTTGCATGATTTGATTTTGTGACAAAATTATAACTAGCTGCATCAATCACCATCCTCTCGTATGGGTTCAATTGCTCATAATAGCCACATTCTTCCCTAACTGAAAATTGGTCACTTCTTCCATATCCTTCATCAGATATAAATGATTCACTATGGGAAGTCCAATTATAATAGTTCGGACTAAACCCAAATATAGTAAGGTGTTCTCTAACTTGATCACACACAAGAAATTTACCATTACCGCACTTTTTACACGGACACCTTAACTTATTTCCATCCATGAACTCATATTTACTACTAGTAAAGTCTAAAAATAGTTCCAACCCAGTACGAAACTCATCTGTCAATCCTTGACGTCCAGGTAAGTTCTTATTATACATCCAAGCCCTTTCTCTTTGCATTGTGTCTGTATTAAAATAAAAAAATTCTGGTAAAATATTTAAAATATCATATCTATTGTTCTTAATTAAAACCATAAAATTTTGGAAATTATAATTTTTGTTATTCACGCAACAATTAATATGAAATTGCAAAAATAGAAAAAATTATCATGTAAAGAAGACTTACCCAAATATTTGACTGAAATATTGGTAGGAGAAAGTGGTCAATTTGATGAGAATTACAACGTCCACTTGGATTGCGAGACCTTCAATTAGACACATACCCAAAAAGAATAATCACTTAAGAATCATTTTTTTAATAATTTTTAATGTGCGATGGAAACGGAATTCATCCCTCGCAAATTTGCGACGGAATCAAGGAAATTCGTCGCAAAATTTGCGACGGATCCTTGATTCCGTCGCAAATTTGCGACGGAATTTTCATTTATTCGTCGCAAATTTTGCGACGGAAACTATTTCTGTCGCAAAACGGCTTGGCCGTTCGGCCTCATCCAAAGGCCGGCGAGGTGTCGCCGGTCGTCGGTCGTTAAACCGGTGATGCAGATACGAAAAAAAAACAAACATAAACATATATAAAATAAGAGAAATTACAATTCTACGATGAATAGTCACGAAGCTAGCTATGATACTTACCGGTACAAAAACTTCACCGAGATTAATATGTGCGTGCGCGGATTTTGCTGATTTCAGACACATGAAAGAGGGAGAAAAGCGAGAGAGAGCGAGAGAGAGAGAGAGATAGGGTTGGAATATCACGGGCTGATAAACTACAAATTTGCGACGGACGTTCGTTTTCGTCGCAAATTTGCGACGAATTTAGCGACGGTTTTTTTTTCCGTCGGAAATTTGCGACGAACTTTTGCGACGGATTTATTTTCCGTTGCAAATTTGCGACGAACTTCTTTCCGTCGCAATTTTGCGACGGTTTTTTTTTCCGTCGGAAATTTGCGACGAACTTTTTTCCGTCGCAAATTTGCGACGGAATTAGCGACGGTTTTTTATTTCCGTCGCAAATTTGCGACAGATAAAAATTCCGTCGCAAATTTCCGACGGATTTTTCATCCGTCGCAAATTCTGTCGCAAATTTGCGACGGAATTAAACCGTCGCTAATTTGCGACGGAAAATATAATCCGTCGCAAATTTTGTTGCAAATTTCCGACGGAAAATTTCCGTCGCAAATTTCCGTCGCAAATTACATGTTTTTTTGTAGTGTGCGTTATCGTTCTCTTGATCAGCCATGCGGATACAAGAGACACTCAAGGCAGGATTTAGAGTTGGTAACATTTTATTCTAATTCTGTTTCGAGAAAAACATTTTGCTCATTTTCTGGTGCTTGGGTCACTTAGAAAAATGAGTCAACTGAAAATATTTTCCTATCAAACTTTAAATTCAGGAAAATAATTTTCTCTTTAAAAATTCAGAAATCATTTTCCAAAATATGACTAGATATATAAGCTGTGCGCATCAACTTGTGTAGGGCTGTAGCTAACGCGTTAAGTATCCCACATCGGGAGTATGTTCACAAGAATAAAACTCAAAGGAATTGACGAGGGTCCTCACAAGCGGCGGAGCATGTGATTTAATTCGATGCAAAGCGAAGAACCTTATTAGGGCTTGACATACCGCAAATCCTCTTGAAAGAATGGGTGTTTGGATCATAAATTCTGTGGTTGGGTAAGGAAACCCCAATGCTCGTTGTTGAGTCCTTGGTAGCGAGGCCAAGTCCTTAGAGCCTCGGCCTGGGTCCATCTAGGCCGTGCTCGAGACCTCAGCCACCGTGCCTAGGTCTGTCGAGGCCAAGCCCAGGACACTAGTGTCCGTGCTCAGGTCCTCGACACTTCTGTTCAGTTCTATTAAGGCCGAGCCTCGAACCCTGGCGCCCTTGCCTAGGTCCTCGACTTTCGAGATCGAGTCTATCGAGGCCAAGCACAGGCCTCCCGTGCCCGTGCACAAGTCCATGACTTCCGAGCTTGGGACTTTTGTGCCCATGCCTCGGCCGCCCATGCTAGGTCCATTGAGGCTGGCCCTGGACACTGGGTGCCCAGGACCAAGTTCCTAGTGCTTGGACCCGGGTGCTCGGAACCAAGTTCCCGCTATTCGGACCAGGGTCCAACGAGGCCGGGCCATAGTCCTCGGCACCAGAACCTGGGTCCATCAAGGCCGTGCTTGGGACCCCAACGACTATGCCTAGATCCATCAAGGCTGAGTGCAGATCCCTGGAGCCATGCTCAAATCCGTCAAGGTCGAGCCTAGGACCTTGATGCCGGTTCCTGTACCTATGCTTGTGCCCAAGATGTCAAGCCTTAGGTCCATCGAGGCCAAGCCTGAGAGCTCGGCACTTGGACCTAGGACCCCGACGGCGCTTGAGCTCGAGCTCGAGCACCGGGGACCCAAGCCTAGCCTTGATGGATTCTAGCCCGGCATTGAGGACCCAAGGCACTAGCATTAAGGGATCCAAGCTTGGCCTAAGGCCAGTGACCTAGCCATTGCCTCGTCAATGACAGACGGAGGGAAAAGGGGAAAAAAGAAGAGAAGAGAAAAGAAAAAAAGTAAAGAAGGAAAAGAGAAAAAAGAAAAAAATTAATAAAAATTTTGAAAAAAATAAAGTATTAAATTATTTTTAAAATTTATCCACGTCAACACTGGCTTTGTCAAGTAGAACGGCCAGTATCCATGTCAATCATTTCTGGCCAAAATTGGTAAAACATAAAAATGTTCAAGATTCAATTAATACAATTAAAAAAAGTTTATAATTGAATTTTGCAAAACTGCAGTATGTTTAAGACTTTTCGAGACAATTTTCCCGGGAGAAGAACACTAGAAGTGCCAAAACTTGTGTACGGCGCTCACTTTAGTGCCAAAAGTTTTCGTCGGCTCACTTAAGTGCCAAATCGGAGGAAAAACGATCACTTAAGTGCCAACGGCGAGAAATTCCGGCCAAATTAATACGTGGTTTTTATAATTAAAATTTTAATCTTAGTTGGATTTTTTTTTAAAATAAGTTTATGTGGCATTTCCATGTGTACATTTAGATTTTTTAAATATTTTTTCTGATTTTTTTTCCTTATTCTCTTTTTTCTTCTTCTATCTCCGGTCACCGGCCACGGCCAGCCGCCTGGCCCCGCCTGGACGAGGCCGTCGTCGCCCGCCACAAGCGAGGCTCGGCCGACCCTCGCCTGGGTGAGGGCGGGAGAGCCCCGGCGAGGGTCAACCTTGCCTTGCCAGATCCGGCGAGGTCGGCCGTCGCCGTGGCCACGGTGGCCTCGGGGGGCGTGGCCTTCCCCCGGGTGACGGCCGGCCTAGCCTCGCCGGGGTTCGCCCTCGCCCAGGTGAGGCGAGGCCGACCCTCACCAGATCCGGCGAGGCCAGTCGTCGCCTGGGGGAAGGCGATGCCCCACGAGGCCGCCGTGGCGACGGTCGGCCTCATTGGATCTGGCCAGGGTCGACCTCGCCTCGCCTAGGCGAGGCCGGCCGTCGCCAGGCCATGACGACCTCGCTGGGCATCGCCTTCCAGGGCAACGCCCGGCGAGGTCGTCGTGGCCTGGGCGACGACCGGCCTCGTCGGATCTGGCGAGGCGAGGCCGACCCTCGCAGGGACTCGCCCGCCCTCGCCCAAGCGAGGGTTGGCCGGGCCTTGCCTGTGGTGGGCGACGGTGGCCTCGTCCGAGCGAGGCCAGGCGGCTGGTCATGGCCGGTAGCTGGCTTCCGGTCACCGGCGGTGATTGGAGGTAGAAGAAGAAGAAAGAGAAGAAAAAAAGAAAAGAAGGAAAAAAAATCAGAAAAAATATTTAAAAAATCCAAGTGTACATGTTAAACTACGTTGTTTTGACGTGTACATGTTGACTAAACTTCCGGTGAGCCACATCAGCTTCAGAAATTAATAAAAAAATGCCACGTCGGATTTTCGGCCAAATTAACCGGAGTTGGCACTTAAGTAATCGTTTTTCAAAAATTTTGACATTCAAATGATTCAAAATAAAATTTTGATACTAAAATAAGCGCCGTATATAAGTTTTGACACTTCTGTCGCTCTTTTCCCCAATTTTCCTGGTTGCAAGCATATTCCCTAATCCGAGAGCCGGGTACTATTTCGGATGCTGCACGCACGATCGGACCTTCCCCCGAAAAGAGACGACGACGCTACCAATTACCAAGCGGCAAGTACACGAGCAGACTCGCTCTCCAGCAGATAAAGTTCACACCTTTATCGCATCTCCTCAGACACCTCGGACACGACAACTCTCCCCTCCCTCGAAAGCCATGAACCGTCGCTCGCCGGAACTGCTCCGACCAACCTGATCCTCGTACCCTGCCGCAGAGGAGCAAACCATGAATCCCCTCTGCAGATCCCTGGACTGTCTCTCCGCAAAACCTCCTCCTCCGCCGCCGCTCAACCCCCCGCTCCGCCTCCGATCCGCCGCGTCCCTCCACTTCCCTCGCTCCTCCTCCTTCCTCGGCAGCCCCGGAAACCTCAAATTCAAACGGACCCTCGTCCCGAAACCGCTCCGGCGAGCCCCGGTCAGCGCCTCCGCGGCTGCGGACATCGACATGGTGAAGGACAGGGAGGGTGTCTACGCGCCGAAGCAGAAGAAGGTGGTGGTGCTGTGGGACCTGGACAACAAGCCGCCGCGGGGCCCGCCGTACCAGGCCGCCACGGCCCTCAGGCGGGTGGCGCAGAACTTCGGCGAGGTGGTCGAGATGTCGGCGTACGCGAACCGGCATGCGTTCATTCACCTGCCCCAGTGGGTCGCCGAGGAGCGCCGCGAGCGGAAGCAGCTCGACATTCTCGAGCGCAAAGGTGTGGTGACTCCGCCCGAGCCTTACGTTTGCGGGGTGTGCGGCCGAAAGTGTAAGACGAATATGGACTTGAAGAGGCATTTTAAGCAGTTGCACGAGCGAGAGAGGCAAAAGAAGTTGAATAGGATGAGGTCTTTGAAGGGGAAGAAGAGGCAAAAGTACAGGGAGAAGTATGTAGCTGGGAATCATAAGTATAATGAGGCGGCGAGGGTGTTGATCAAGCCAAAAGTCGGATACGGTTTGGCATCGGAGTTGAGGAGAGCTGGCGTTTTGGTTAAGACTGTGGAGGATAAGCCACAGGCAGCGGATTGGGCCCTGAAGAAGCAAATGCAGCATTCGATGAGTAGGAGGATTGACTGGTTGTTTTTGGTGTCTGATGATTCGGACTTTTCGGAGATGTTGAGGAAGGCAAGGGAGGCGAATTTGGGGACGGTTGTGGTCGGGGATTGGGATCGGGCATTGGGAAGGCATGCCGATTTGTGGGTTCCTTGGAATGGGGTAGAGAATGGGGAGGTTACCGAGAAGGATTTGGTGCCCAATAGGCGGAGAGAGCGGGAGGACTCTGATGGGGAGGACAGCTTCTTTTCGCTTTCAGTCTTTGATGAGGACGTTGATGGAGACAGTGACTTGGACAATGTAGTGAATGAGCTTGTTGCAGGAAGGTCTGCGATTGGTAGCGTGAGGATTTCGGCTTTTTCAGAAGGGGAGGAAGAGGAGGAAGAAGAAGAATGGGACACAGAGGAAGTATTCAATGGCTTCGTGTTGGGGTATAGTGAGGATGAGGAAGATGTCTACTTCTGATACAAAAATTACATCTCTCATTGTCAAAGTTTGTTTCAAAGCCATTTGATAATTGAATTGCAATGACATTGTGTCCAAGAGCTGATCATATCATATGGTTACCTGGAAAGAGATGGCCATTTGGACGAATTGGCAACTAATTAGCTGGTTTGTTTCCAACAAGTTTGCGTACAAAAGTTGCCTGTCTGTATATTATACACCACATTTCTCAAAGGCTTAACTCTCTTACTGGATCTATCACTTGGATTAACAACAATACAAGGCTCATTTTGTGTCTTCTCCATCAACAACTATTTCATTCCGAGACAGGATAATAAATCTGCTCTTAGGATAAATGCACCCTTATTATTTCCATGTCATCTTTTATTTACATGTCTTGTTAGGATTTAAATCCCAATGGAAGGAAAAGATTTGAGTCAAGTCTCCGTTTTGATTGAATCTCGAGCTGAAGAACTTTTGCAAATGTTTTTTGTGCGTTCAGCATAACCATTTGGAGGTGCTCATAAAATTTCTACAACAACATTCCTAGATCATGGAGATTGAGTACTTCTCTTTGGTTTTCAGATGTAATATCTCCGTCTCACTGATGCTGGGAGCTTACCATAAAGACGGACAATATAGACAGAGATATATTCAGGACCGCGTGGAATTTGTAAGATGGATTTGATGTTTTATGAGATTAGAATGCCCCCCTGAATCTTTAACAATTTTGCGTTCTGATTGACTTTTGATTGGGGAAAGGAGAACATGGTACATTAGAGGATTGTCTACTGATTATGGCACAGTGTTTAGTAGTGGGACCATATGAGGCTGCTTTAGTTTTAAGTGGTGCTTTTGGTATTTGCTATATAGAATATAAGCCAAGCCATACAGGAGAGAGTGGAAGTAAGTTTTGGTCTGTCAACTGGTTCTGATCATGCTTGGCTGCTCAAAGGAGAGTCATGACTGGATTTTTTGGCCTTCAAATTTTTTGCAAGTTCCATTTTGCTATCTGATTGCACTTGGTGAATTCCGTGTAGAAAGTTAGTACAAAAGGTGGCTTGGTGTAGAGTAGATTACCTTTCCCGTCCTTACTGGAGTAGTACTTTATGATTGTGAAGTATGAACTCATACCTTCTCAAGTGTCTTTAGCTATTTTGAAGTTTGTTTGTCGAGTGTTGTCACTAATAAGCATCGGTCAACTCCTGGAGTTGCCATAACCTTGTAGTTGTTCTCTGTGTCTAAAATGTAGAATAGAATTCACCTTTTGCGTTTTTCTACTGCTCTATAATTCGCTGCATGAAAGGAAACACAACTATTTGCTGTCGATCTTTTCAATTGTATTCGTACCTCAATAGTAGTACTCTTCACTTGACCAATTGCAAACTTTTGAGTGGATGTATAATGAAAATGCAAATAATTGCTGGTGAAGCAACAAAATGCTCCCACTTTTGTCGTTGCTAGGAGACGTTTGTGGCGTTGCTATGTTAGTGAGCAGAAAACGACTCTCCGGTGGGATGATGGATCATGTAGTGGTAGAGCTTCTTTGAGTAGTTTGATGTATTTGGAGAAACATGAAGGTGTTCTCATCTTTTTTGGTGTTGAGTTACTCGACACCAAGGAGGGAAGATACAGGTATGGTGGAAAGGAGTTTGCTTGTTTGACCTTTTAGTTTGAGATTCAGATTAGCGTCTGCACGGCGTGCGATGATGAGATCGATAAATGTGAATATTGCAAAATGAATGGATCTCATGCTAATCAATCTTATGATGAGATTGATTATTTTTTGCATTAGCACGTCCTCTGTAGCAGAATGATCTCAAGGTAGGGATGGAGACCAAGTACTTTTATTCACCAAGCCACTGGTGCTTGTTGAGAATGCATGACAAGCCAAGCTTATATATTGCATCAGGTACATAAGCTCAAACCTCTAACAGAAGGCCCACCTAGGGGGACTTTGTTCTCTTGAAGAAAGATGTGGGCTTCGAACTGCTCAAGAAAAGCCCTGGCTGCATCCAAAGTGTTTGATGAAATTCCCTGGAGAGCTCTTTCCTCTTATTTCAGTACCTTAGTTTATCAGATTCCCCATTCACATTGAGCCTAACTACTTTCCATCTGGGTCCTCTTTGTCTCAAGTCTTTTTGTCTCCACGGCAACAAAGAAGGAATCCATAAAACTTAGGGATCCTTAGTTTCTTACGGAAGGCTTAGGATTCTATGGGACCGGCCGTTTAGCTCAGGTGCTTGAGCGCCTGCATCATGATTGGCCCGTGCCTAAGTTGTCGTTTCTGCTGAATTTCGAAGATGTTTGCCAAGTTGACATCCTAACCATAAAGGGTTGGGTGTTGTGTCCCGGGCCTAAATCGGATTGGCTTGGCTTCGCATGAATGGAACAGCACCCTTGAAGCCCCTCTTCTCCATTCGACATGGCTACAGCCAGCCAGATAGTGTTTCTTTCTCGAACACAGCGCTTACATCTACCCTCGGTTGGGTGCAGTTCTATAATGCCAAGCGTGAAGGTTCTTGGATACAAAGCAAGAGCTCGGAGTGATGTTGGCGCTTCCGGTGGCATTTGACATGAAACACAAGATTAGGTCTTAATCGAATTAGAGGACTGTGAGGCGAACCCACAAAATAAGTTAGGCTTAGTTGTTCTCCGTCCCAAGTTCAGTAACGGAGTTGGCAGCCGGCAATGGCCTCTCGTCTTCCGATTTGACCCATCCCTTCACCTGACCAGCCACCTTCGTTTGCTACTTCTTCGGGATAATTGTTCAAAAATTCATAAATCTATTGTACGGATACAAAGCAAGAGCTCGGAATGATTTTGAGCGCTTCTGGTGGCATTTGACATGAAATACAAGATTAGGTCTTAATCGAATTAGAAGACTGTGAGGCGAACCCACAAAATAAGTTAGGCTTAGTTGCTTTCCGTCCCAAGTTCAGTGACGAAGTTGGCAGCCGGCAATGGCCTCTCGTCTTCCGATTTGACCCATCCCTTCACCTGACCAGCCACCTTGGTTTGCTACTTCTTTGGAATAATTGTTCAAAAGTTCATAAACCTATTATATGGATACCAATTCAGTCCTAAACCTTTCAATTGTATTAATTTAGTCCTAAACCTTTCAATTGTGTTCTAAACCTCTTGAAGATTTATCAATCTAGTCCCAAACCCATTATTCGGATAATTGGTTGGAAGGACTACATTGAGAAATCGTCAAAAGGTCTAGCACTGAATTGACACAATTAAAAGATTTAGGATAGAATTGATATCCGTATAATAGGTTTAGAACTATTTGGACAATTTTCTCCCTTACTCCCTTCTTTATATTTAAAAAAAAACCATATTTAGTCCAATCAACAGTTCATTAATTCGCGTATGCAGATCTTTATCAGTGCGTCAGTTGTCAAATACAGAAATCCACAAGCAAATCACCACCACCGCTCGAGTCATTGTATCGTAGCGGAAGCCAACCCTTCTTTATCATACTTTTTTTCTGCTCTGTGTGATCGTGTGCAGAGAAGTTGATCGACCTACCTACCGCCCAACGCGTACAAGTCGCTCTTTTCTGCTGCTGCTTTCCATAAAAGTCCATTGCTTGTATCGCAATCCCAACCAAGGTTATCCAGAACAGCTCTCGATTTAGCAAATTTTTAATTAAAAAAAATGGGAGGATGTATTGATTAAAATAAGCCAAATTGCCAGCACACAACAAATCTGGATTTGGAGTACCCCGTTTTCCGCCTACTCTTTCGTTGATTTCTTCCTCTTTTTATATCTGCAAATTGTGTGTTGTTTTGTGGTTCGTGGCCATGGTACGGGGTTGGCGATTGCGTGGACGGAAAGAAACTACTACCTCCTTTCATTTTCTTGCTCATTATTGGGTCTTCGTCTTGGCACCGACCCCCAATATGTTAAATTTCTCGGAAACTTTCCCGCTTTGTCAATATTCCTACGTTTCGGGGAAACTTTCCCGCTTTGTCAATTGTCCAAATAATCTTGAACTTATTATGCGGCGGTCAATTCGGTACCAAGTCTTTCAATTATGCCAATTTAGTTAAACCTTTTAACGATTTATCAATGCAGTCGTTCCGGCCAATTACCCGAATAATAGGTTTAGGACTACATTGGCAAATCTTTAATAAAAGGTTTAAGACTAAATTGACACAATTGAAAGGTTTATGACTAAATTGACAAATCGTCAAAAGGTTTAGGATTAAATTGGCACAATTAAAAGGTTTAAGATTGAATTGGCCGCCGTATAACGGATTTAAGAACTTTTTGGACAATTATCACACATATTTGGATAAATGAATTTTGGAATATTTCTTTTTTTAACCCGAAACAGCCAAAACGTTCACGACAGATATATATTTTGAGCAGTAAATTCACTCATAATTTCTTCATAATTGTTGAAAATTTGAAAATAGTATGCTGGGTTTTGTCGGGAAAGCCAAAAAAAAAAAAGTGCTTCTTGCTTTTTACTTGATCCTAAACAGACGTGCCGAACCCGAATGTATAGGTAGGCAACGCGGTGGGAGTATTATATTTGATCCACCAAAGTAACACAACACGATTTGTATGTTACAGCGATAAGGACCCATTGACATGTCATGACATTTCTTTTCATCCATCACCTCCCTAACTATCTTAAGGGATTTTGTTCTAGTTTCGAGTTCATATCGGCCACGATTTCGACACGGTAGTCGGATGTCCATGCCGGAATCGAAACGGAAAAATGGATGAGGAAAGGGGGGGGGGGGGGGGGGGCAGGGGAGGGGCTCCGTTAACCATACTTTGTAACGAAATATTTCAATTTCAATATACCGATTACACACGATACAAGAGGGACGGCGTACTGAAAAAAAAAAAGAAATTTTTTTTCTCGTTAATTAAGAAAAAAACTTTTCTTGTTCACATAACCCAATATAAAAAATCGGTGTAACCATGCTCAACTCATTATTCCCCACGAGCAATATATCACGCAAGAACTATAACACTTCCTTTTTTCTTTTGTACACCACGTCTTCTAAACGTCGCATATGCCCGCATTACTCTTAAGAAACCGGGCATGTCGATCGAACGTACGCATTTAGCGTAACGGTTACACAATCGGACACGGAGTAATCCCTAACTGCACGGCGCGAGTGATTTTGTACTTGGACACGTCGGCGTCAAAATGCAAAACAACATCGCCGCTCCTTCCTTTTCAAAGACGTAACTTGCACCAATTGACGTGCACGAATTTCGGCCCCCCCCCCCGCCACATCTTCCCCCCCTCCTTCCTTTGCAGGCACGTGCCCAAAATCCACCCCGCGGGAAAACGCCACGTGACGTTGAAAAAACACGTGTCAACTTCGTCAAAAAAAGACAGGTACAAAACCGTCCCCCGACAGTGCCGATTAACTGAACATAACGAATCCCCCACCCTTCTCATCACCGACGTAAGAAATTTCCTCCTTCCTATGCGCGCCAAAAGAGAGAGAGAGAGAGAGAGTGTGACGGTCTTATGTCGGCCGCGTTTTGAAGATTAGTAAGAGGAGGCGGCTTCGTGGTCGTTTGCTGCAAAAGACGGCAACTTGTCGTGCCCATCTTGCCAAATTCATCTCCCTCTGCACGCCCCCCCTCTCTCTCTCTCTCTATTTATACCCACCCCAGTTCTTGATCTTCTTCATCCTTAGTCTTGCCAGAAAAGACCGATCTTTGATTCTTCCCCCACCTGCCTCTCTCTCTCTCTCTCTCTCTCTCAAGAATCAAGAATTCAAGAGCTTGTTATGGAAAGCGAGCGCTACGACGCGGTTATGGAGGAGAAGCAGCGGATCAAGAGACGGCCGCCGCACCAGCAGGGGCGGCAGCAGCAGCAGCAGCAGGAGAGGCCGTACCGGGGTATCCGGATGAGGAAGTGGGGCAAGTGGGTGGCCGAGATCAGGGAGCCCAACAAGCGGACCCGGATCTGGCTCGGCTCCTACGCCACCCCCGTGGCCGCCGCCCGCGCCTACGACACGGCCGTCTTCTACCTCCGCGGCCCCTCCGCCCGCCTCAACTTCCCCGACCTCATCTGGCGCGAGGGGCGGGACTCGCTGCGGGAGATCTCGGCCGCCTCCATCCGCCGGCGGGCCGCCGAGGTCGGGGCCCAGGTCGATGCCGTCCAGGTGCAGGCGGCGGGGGCGGCGGCCAAGCCGTGGCCGTGCCGGGCCCCGGACTTGAACGAGTACCCGAAGCTGGAGGACTTGGAGGAGATTCATCACGAGTCTGTCTTTTGAATTACTTTCTTCATGGGAAGAACCAGGTTCAGGAAGAATTACTGATCGCCCCAGATGAAAGAGGCATTAATTTAGGCCAGGGCTGGTGAGACTGAAGGAGCAAATGAAGAACAGCGATCTCTTTGCGCGCGCAGATCAGCGCAACGTCGGTCTCCAGTTTTTGTCAAGAAAAGAGATTGTAGAGCCTCTTAGTTCTTCGAGTGTGGCAGGAGAATTGATTTCTATTTGTTGACCGTAATTTTTCTTTCTCTTCTTCCTTTTTTTCAAAGAAAAGAGATCAATCCAGCGAAACGATACCGACCAAGAACACAATACTAAATGAATGCTTGCTTATGGTCTAATTAATTCTTGCAATTCGATATCGTCATGTCACAACGCAAGATCTCGTGAACCTGAGAGGCTGAATGTTAGCTGTCATGTCGTGCTGCATAAAGACGAACTTTTTTCATGAGTTTGTTTTCTGGGATCTTTTGAAAGCTTGAGTTGAGTGCGCATGGTCCAGGCTTTAGCAGGATGGTGGTGGTTTTTACAGGGTGTGCGATAGAGATGCGATTTGGCGTTCTTGTTTCCGAGTCACGAACTGCCCCACCAACAACGTGCCTGGGGACACCACCGAAGCGGCAGGTGACCACCACATAGATTAGAAAGTTCAGCAGAAAGAGATGATGGAAAAAAGCTGTGGCGATCTATCGACCTGAAGCGCATTCATCAGTCCCACTCAGACTCGTGTTTTCTCGTGGTAAGCAATGGGGGAAAAGTACCGAAAAAGTCATAAATCTATCGCATTGATATCAATTCGGTCCAAAACCTTCTAATCAGACCGATTTGATTTTAAAACTTTCCACATTGATACCAATTCAGTCTATTCGGTCAATTTAGGCCGGAAATTGTTGACGTGGACGCCGGACGTTCTACGTGGCACGGCCGCCCGGTGTTGACGTGGACATTTTGAATTACATTTTAATAATTTTGAATAATTTTTATTGTTCTTTCTTCTCTTTTATTATTATTTTATTTTTTTCCTTCATTTTGATCAACGAGGATCACCCTTGCTGGCTTTTGGGCAAGGGCTAGTAAGCCCTCGGCCAGGGCCTTTGCAGCCCCATCGGCTCTAGGCGAGGCGACCCTCACTAGCGATTGGCAAGGGCTTGCTGGCCCTCACTAGCGACCAGTGAGGGCTTGCTGGCCCTCACTCGCGACCGGCGAGGGCTTGCTGGCCCTCACTCGCGACCGGCGAGGGCTAGTCATTGACGAGGGTTGCCGGCTAAAATGAAGGAAAAAAAGAAAGAAAGAAAGAAAGAAAGAAAGCATAATAATAAAAGAAAAGAAAAGAAAAGAATAATAAAAAATTCAAAAATATAAAAAAAAAATGTTCACGTTACCAAATGAAGGCTCCTTTTATTTCGCGGAAAATAACTTCCAAGAAAATATTTTCGGGATATTCCGGTGTTTAGTTCACGGAAAATAAACAAGTCAAGGAAAACATTTTCCGTTAATGGAAAACACACCTTCAAAAGTGGGAAAAATGATTTCCCTCCTCCTTCTTTCACCATTCATTTCAATTATTTTTATTATTTTTTTTTATATTTCTAAAATTTTATTTTTGAAAACAAACAGGTCGATGAGGCTCGAGCTCGCCAAAGGACGGTGAGGCTCAGGCCTCACCAGAGGTTGGCAAGCGAGCTCGCCAGATCGCGACTCGCTAGACCACCTTGCGAGCTCACCTGTGGCCGGTGATCGGTCATAAAAGAAGCGCAAAAAAAGAAAAGAAAAAGAAAATTTAAAAATAAATTTTTAAAAAATAAAAAATAAAAAAATTATTAAAAGTAGTGCATGGAGAAAAATAAAATCAAAATTTCCAAACCAAATAGCGGAATATATTTTCCGGGTCTTTTTCAGGTTTCAGCCAAACACTGAAAAATTGTGTCATTTTTCTAGGTAAGTGGCTTCTTGGAAAACATTCGAGAAACATCACATTTTCCACAAAACGCGAAACGAATGGAGAGGAATTTTTAAATTTAATCATCTAAGACTGTTAATCAATACAGTATGACCAATAACAACGATGGATATTTTTACTCCAAAAATATCCTTTATACATAATTAAGTTTCTTTTAACAAATTCAACCTTAACTCATTAATAAGTTATCACCCTTTCATCAACAATCCATTCATATAAGTTATTTTGTGTCTTCAATGTGCTATCCTTCCACGGAGAGAAGTTTAAATTAACGCGTGATCACTAGACAAAGGGGGATTAAACATTTTATAATTGAGGATGCATTTGCTTCATGGAAATCCATAACTTGGAAAATATTTTCAAAAAAAAAATCACTTACATCACTTATACAAATAAATTAATCAAAAATACTTTTATCATCCCTGAATCTGTTTAGACATAAATTGCCGTGTACGATAAAAATATTTTTCATTAACTATTTTTTTAAGAGATACAACAAATCATTTTTTAGAAGATATTTTTCAAATATTTTTTTTCGCTAAAAAAATGGGCCTTGAGATAAAATATTCATTTCTCAATCCGAAACTCATTAGTTTCCAAAGTTTCTTTTGAATCAAAACAAGGCCTCTGATACCTTTAGGGCTTGTACAATGACAAACGGTAAGTCCACGAAGAAATTCTGCATGTTTGAATGTTCTTTGGGCCCAATTCCAAATCCCATACCAATGTTCGGATCATGCCAGTTCTAAATTTCCATGGGAGCCTCTTCCTTTGGTTCTAGCTCCCTTACCTTTAAAGCTTATGTTTTGAGGCATTTACTCATCATAGAGATCGTTTTGCCATGCAAAAGCAGTCGATTTATCACAAGTAGTGTAGTAATGGGCCTCACAGGTAGCTGCGCCTACTTAGGCCCAAAGAGCAAACGATAAGCTTTTGACACACTATTTCTTTCTTAGGCTCCGTTCGTTTGGCGGAAAATATTCTCCCGGAAAATATTTTCCGGGATTTCCGGTGTTCGGGGGGTGGAAAACGTTTTCCGTGGGAAAATATTTTCCTTCCCTCCCTCACAAAATAGCCTAAGTCTACGGAAAATGACTTCCGCTTCTTCAAAAGCGGAAATCATTTTCCGGAGCTTCTTCTTCTTTTTCTTCACTAAGGTCGCTGGCCGCCGCCGCTGTAGCCGGTTAGCCGCCGCCGGACGCCGCCGCCGCCGCCGCCGCCGCCGGACGCCTCGCCGCCGCCGCCCGCCGGACGCTGCCGCCGCCGGGCACGCCGCGGCCTCCGCCGGTCGCCGGCCTCCGCCGCCCGCCGGCCTCCGCCGGTCGCCGGCCGCCGCCGGTCGCCGGCCGCCCGCCGCCGCCCGGTCGCCCGCCGCCGCCGACTCCGCCGGTCGCCGGCCACCGCCGCCGGTCGCCGCCGCCGCCGACTCTACCGGTCGCCGGCCTCCGCCACCGCCGCCGCCGGCCGGACGCCGGACGTTGGCCGTTGGTCGCCGCCCCCGCCGCCGCCGGACGCCGGACGTTGGCCGTCGGTCGTCGGCCGCCGCCGCCGGTCGCCGGCAAAAAATATTTTCCGAAACTTTTTCATATTGGTCACCGAACACCAGAAAATTATGTTCCGGAAAAATATTTTCCAGGAAAATGACTTCCGGGAAAATATTTTCCAAAAGGAGAATATTTTCCGCCAAACGAACGGAACCTTAGGCTCCATTCATTTTACCGAAAACGAATGATTTGAAAAATATTTTCTTAAAAATGATTACTTGTATCTCTTGAAAATAATTAGCCAACAAAAAATGTTTCATTATCAATAACAATTTATGTCTTGATATTTTCAAGGACGGTGAAACTATTTTTTCGTTCATTCATTTTTTTAGGCGATATAAGTGATCGTTTTATGGAAAACATTTTTCAAATCATCCACTTTCTACTAAACAAACGGAGCATTACACCTTGCTCACTGTACTCGGACTCTTTCTGTTAGCGTATGGGAACATTTTGGGGAGGTCAGGCAATCCGCGAAAGTTAACACAACTCACCCCAAATTGCAACAAAAGGATAAAAAAAAAAAAACACTCGACATCTTGAATTAAGCTCTTTTCAGGTACAACTAATTATATTCGAATCTCTGCACGATAAGAGATAAGTTGTACACACGAGGATCAGGGAGCTTGCTATGAATTTATTCATCCTGACGTGATCTCGACAAGTAACATCGAGTATGTATGACCTTCAAGATTGCACCCTTTTGAAGTGTTCCTCTTCAAAGGTAAATTAAGTAGATTAATGTTTTGAATTCATGGTTTTTTGGTCCCTAGTTGACTTGCATGCTCTTAGCTTTGGGTTAAAGTTGAAGTAGAATTGCCATATGAAGTCACTATGTAATCCCAGTCACTTGTATGAATTCAAGTAATTACCTTTTAGAGAACAAAATCTCCAACCTGAGATGGAAAATGAGAAGGAGGTTCGAGTTTGGTAATATAGCCGTCGTCTCCTGTTTACGAACCTTTTGAACTTTTTGCCTAGTGCATTTTGTGGTGTCACATGTACTGCGAAAGCTCTGAGCACAATGGGTTGACAACAACTAATAGCACTAAAAGAAGAAAAGATCGTTCAGGAAAGCGAAAGGAGAAAAGCTCCATTCAAAATGCATCTGGGTTATTATAATCTAACTCCCATTTGTCACTTATTTGGTAGGTCAAAGGAGCAATATTATTCGGTTGTTTTCTTCTTGGGCTAAAAAAAGAAGTATCATTTCTTAATTACTAAAAAAATAAAGATAGGAAAGAAAGGAAAATAGCAAATATACTTGCAATAGGTGGAAATTGTCTAAACAGACATAAACCTATTATGCGGATACTAATTCGGTCATGAACTTTCAGATTTAGATAATTTAGTCCTAAACATAATGCCAGAAATTTCAGTATAGTAATTCCGATCACTTTTCGCTGGAAATGGTTGAGGTGGGAGAGAAGTGTAAAAAAAGTCCTAAACTTTTTGTATTTGTGCCAATTTAGTCCTAAATCTTTTATTGGTGCCAATTCAGCCCTAAACCGTTTGCATTTGTATCAATTTAGTCCTAAACCTTTTTTTGGTGCCAATTCAGTCTTAAACCTTTTGCATTGGTGCCCATTCAGTCCTAAACCTTTTGCATTGGTGTCAATTCAATCCTAAACCTTTTGCATTTGTGCCAATTCAGTCCTAAACCTTTTGCATTGATGCCAATTCAGTCATTCGACACGTGAATAGCTATTAGCCGGAAGGACTGAATTGGCACAAATGCAAAAGGTTTAGGACTGAATTGGCACAAATGCAAAAGTTTATGACTGAATTGGCACCAAAAAAAGGTTTAGGACTGAATTGGCATAAATGCAAAAGGTTT